TCTTTCGGGAAACGCAGTCTAGTCCTTGTTGAACTGGGTCTTCCGATTCAGGACTTGGAATTTCCTTTTTCGCCGTGACTCCCACTTTTCGTCTTGAACAAGTCGTCATCTGGAAAGTCGCCATCGAGTCTCCTCTGTTGGCGTGTGCCTACTGCCGCCGTCGCCCGTACTTCTGTTGACCTGGGTTCGTTCATATCCGTCTGCAAACACCTTAACAATGCTCGTATCTGACAGCAAGCTGCCTACGAGTATGTCTGTGTTTGCACAGTACCACGTATCCCATCAACTGCGGGTTCGTGGGGTAGCCTGCCTCGTCTCGTCGAGAGATGTCCGCGCTTACCGGTTCCAACGAACAATTACATAATATAATTACATACATTGATCCTATGGCCCACGCAGGGGTCGTACATGAATGATCTAGTAAAGTATTTAAACTATGCGGTGTCCCACCGCGCGAATAAATTATTACAAACATTCACCAACCCAAAAATCCTCGACATGTCCAAGGCTTTTAAAACGACATACATGAATTAAAAAACAAACATACATGCGGGCCATAATAGTCGGATTCAAGAATACCTGCAAACACACTTAGTTGCAATTCTAATCTATTATGCGCTGCGTCTGTACACAATTAATTCACATATATCACGCAAGCCCTAATTCAAATAGTGCACAAAGTCGAATTAACCTGGTCTCTGATACCAGTTGTTGGGTTCGATTAGGAATGTCGACAATGTGCACATTCAAATCTATTGAATAATAAATCCTAACGCAGCGGAATCTATAGTTAGGATTAGGACTTACGAAATAAAAATTTTTGCCGACTCTGAGACGTTTCTGATTTCTGTTGATGGAGATCGTCTGAACACCAATGTCTAATGGGCGGCTAGACTTGGCCTTTCTCGATTCTAATCGAGTCACCATGGTGCTCTAATCGCTCATCAAGCTCATCGGATCGTCTTGGACCATCGGTGAGTAAGTCGGACTGCTCGGGAACCATCTTGGACTCGAACCGGGTCTTCTGGACCAAGCTGGACCGCCTTGAAGGTTGCTGGCCGCGTCTGGACCGGTTTGGACTCCATCTAGACCGGCTGGCAACGATCTGGACTGCTTTCCATACCTCTGGGCCGCTTGAGCGCACCTGGGCCGCGTGGAATGAACTGGGCCGCGAGCAAGGCTGTAGTTGGGCCGGAACACGCGCGCAAAGGGCTAAGAGGAGCGCTGGAAGACTGGGCCAACACGCGGGCTGGAGTCGGGCTTGGCGCGGGCTGGACTCAGAGGAAAGAGCGGGCCGCGGGCGGGCCGTATGCGGGCCAGAAAGCCCGCGCACCTGGAACAAAAAGAATATCCTATTTCCGCAAGGAGAAGGATCGAACCCGCGACCTCGCACGGAGAAGACAGCGCCACACGCCATCGCGCTACTCAAGGTGTTGCGTTAATTTGACGCTTTCCTTCGACAAAGTACGAACAGATCTGGGAATATATTTATTCGACGGGATACGAATAACAACCTTCGAATATTCTATTGTATGACCTTTACACGATCTCTAATAAATCTTGGTGGAGCGATTTATTAGATTTCCCAAAACCTCTTGATCATCTTCTTCTAAGACCTTACGGTGCTAACCGATTTTTCTTTCGAAGAAGAATCTCTCTCTTTCTTTCTCGCTTGAAGAGGCCGAATTTCTCCAGCCCTTCGGGGAGAAAAACGTGTAAA